AGTTGATAAGTTCCATTTATTTACCACGGTAATTCCAGCGGATTCAGGGTCCTGTACTTTAATAGCTGCCTTGTCCAAGAAACTGCAGAATCAAAACAAAATCCATAGTCAAAATCTTGGCCCACAATATAATTGGAATTTAATGATATATTTGTCTTTCATTGTGGACATTATTGTTAATAAAATTTCAAGTTAGAAAATGAAAAAAAAAAAAAAAAAGAAGCACGAAGCTAATTCTATTATTGTCCTCCACTTGTTTTTCTTTATATATTTTTTTCTTGATTTAAAACTTGACAAGTTGTATGGGCACAAGGCAAGGGGCGTGAAGATCGATTAGGTGACAGACTGGCTAAGATGGTCTCGTGATCTTAGTTTCCTTTTGATTCTTAAAAGTCCAAGTGTACACTGCATCTTCATCTATAGTATAGTACAAACATTTCTTTCTTTTTGATGAGAAAAATACTACTATATGTAATTTTATCTGACAGGTGACGTTATCTTTCTACTAGATAAAGGAACTCTAGACCCCCAGTGACTTAAACAGCCTTTAAGTTCAGAAATTTATCAGTTTCTGTTGATATTTTCGACTCCCACCCCCTCTCCTCATCCCACTCCATCCATCCCCCAACAAATAATGCAAATTCAGTTTTTTTTCCCTAAGACTACTTGTATTGAACAAATTAGTACAAGAATTAGGAATCATGTGATCATAAAAGAAAGAGAGGGAAAAAGATAACAAAAGGGTATATTTTCATTTTTTTGTTAAGCGTCAACGTGTGGTAGTTTTCAAAATTTATTGTGTGGTCAAGTCGTTATCAAGGAAATGTTAGTGTGACAGTATTATTTACCTCTTTTTGTTACTAACTATTTAATTATTAAAAAAGGTGTATGATTACCACCTTTTGATTTGAAAGCAAAATATTACTTTGAAAAGGAAACACAGCGATACTGTTTTTATAAATATAGCTACCACACTCTCCGTAGGCAAAAGTCGGCAAGGTCTACTATCAAATATTAAAAAAGATTAGTTAAGAGTTAGAGAGGGTCTATTCAAAATTCCTTGTGTAGGGGAGGGTTTAGGCTAGTGTATATTCAATAAGTTTCAAGCCAACTTGCAAACAAGAACAGCAATAAACCCAATCTAATCCTATAAGTGAAGTACGCAATCATTACTTTTATTGTGTGAAGATAAAAAAGCTATTTCCGATAGACCTTCGGCTTGTGATCAAATCAACTTGCAAAATGTTCAAAAACTTATATAGCTTTGTTGTCCATATATCCTAAAATATTTCGACAAAATGGAAATAATTTTGGGATTTGATTGGAGATGATGTTGAATTGGTTGATGGTTAGCTATCAAATATTTGGCCTACCATGGGGACATGTTCAAAACATTTCAAATAATGCAAGGAAATAATCAAGCCAACCAGGAATGATAACTTGCACATAAAAACTTCATTTCCAATTCTTAGCATGATCTAGAGAGGACATGGCACATGGTTTAAAAGGATCATTTCACTTTCTAATAATGCGTGAAATGGGAGTCAATAGAAGGATTTAAGATAGTATTTGGAACTTGATTAACTTTTTGTTATTAGAACTCAAATTATTCTCTAGAAATTTGAAGTCTATTCTTTTTTAATATATTTATAATTAATTAGCCTACAAGAGGTTGATATAGGAGTAATAATTTGGTTGCCAAGAAGAAATAAGAAGTTGCTTTTTATACTTTTAAGAAAAACAACAAGAAAACAAAAATTATTTCAGTCTCAAAAGGAAATATATATAACAAAATAAAAGGAAAAAAGTGAAGAGCTAGATGACAATAATAGTGAAAAGACAGTTAATATATACTAGCAGTTAAAGGATTAAAAAAAAAAAAAAACTCACCGGAATTCCTTGCTGTGAGGCAATCTCTGCTTAGCTTTTTTATTTCCATCCCCAGGAATATCATCAATATTATATAGAAGATAAGAATCAGAAGGCAAATCCATATGTCTTTTGTTCCAAGCAGCCACAAAAACTGAAGCAATTTGTGTCAATGGACTTCCCACAAGTTTCTTGAAACGATATTTTCTTGTGCCCGATAAGAATATGACCAAACCAATAACAATAGCACAAGCACATATTCCATAACCATATTCTCTTCCCAAATTATCTTGAATATACACTAGTACTGTCACTGCACCAAGGGATCCCACGTTAATGAAGAAAAAGAACCAGTTGAAGAATTTTATCATCTGTCCTCTTTCTTTCTTGTCGGTTTCGTCGAATTGATCGGAACCGAAGCCGGAGACGCTGGATTTCAGGCCGCCGGTGCCGAGCGCCGTCATGTATAGTGCTATGTATAGAACCATGAGTTGTTTGGAACTTGCTGGAATGCATGTTGAGCTCCCTGGGGAACACTTTGGTGGTCGTAGGCTTGGGATTATGGTGGAGATGGTCAATATGGTAACACCCTATTTTTCATAAATAACAAGAAAATCAATTAATAATTTATTCAGTTATAGTGTTATAGTAGGTTAATACTAACTTTTAAGTTACGAAGAGTTATTTGTTGTAATAAACTAACTTTATAATATAAAAATCTATGAACTATAATTAGTATATTAGGTTTAAACTCTATTTGAAGAAAGAGAAATGATAAATAGAATCTTTCTCTTTTAAAAGATTCAACTAGTGGAGGTTATATGTATTTTTCTTCTTTCTTTCTTCTTCTTCCTTCTCTTTCCACTTTCTTATTTCATAATAATTGATCTTTCAACGCCCATGTCCAATTCATTCTTCATAAAAATAGTTGATTATTAAACCAAGTGTTATTAAACATTTTCTCCATCTAAATTCCCTTCTTATTCGATTTTCCTCTTCACAACATCTATAATATGACAGGTTTTGATGCAATCTAAACATGGTGTTTTTCTTGGTTTTCTTTATTCCATTGATGGTTGTCATTCTTACTCTTTCCATTCTCCTCATCACAGATTCTTAAAAAATTAAGATCATTTTACATGCATCAATCTCACGTAAGAAAAAGAATCACCATATATGATTAATTAGTCCAACTCCAAAATGATGGCACTCAAAAAGGTGAGTGAAGTCACTTCAGAAAATAAACATTTTTCTATTAGCCAATCCAATCAATTAAGATGTAAAAAATGGAACGTACCATGGCTTGAATAGTGGTAAAGATACCAATTGTAAGATACCTGAAATAATTAAAGTAAAGAACAAAGATGTTAATTAGTGACAGATAAATTTTAGTATATGAACTTCCAAAGTTTAAGGTATATAAAGGTTGACGAACCGTCCAAGAAAAGTGTCGGCTACGAAACCACCAAGCAAAGTGAGCATAAATGAAGTTCCAAGAAAATTAGTAACATTGTTGGCCGAACTAGCATTTCCTAAATGCATGGTTCCAGTCAAATATGTCACCAGATTTACAGCAATACCTAACGTCGTCAGCCTCTCCACTGCCTCAATCCCTATAATATTTTTTTTTAAAAAAAAGCGTAGAAAAAACTCAAGAGTTAGTGATTTCAGAACAAAGGTGATCTTATTATATCGATATATATTTTTCATTGTATGTGTACATTTTTCGGGGCTATAGCAATGATTCAGTTATATTGAACTCACAGAACCCGTCCTAAAGAAGAGAGAAAAGGCAAAAGTACCTAAAATCATGGCGGCGCTGGACCAACCGCCGGACGAGGAACGAACAGCTGGTCGACCTTTGTAATCCCAGGCATCTGGGAGAGTTTTAGTATCTTGTTGTGTTTCAGGAAGTGCCATTTTGAACGATAATAAGAAAAAAAGGTTGCAGAGGAAAAGGTATCCAAGACTATGGTAAGATTCAATTGATTCCATTACCCTTTTATAGCCGTAGGTTTGGGGTTAACTCCTGTGTTTTTAATTTTTTATTATTTTAATATCTATATTTTTTTATTCTACTTAGGTCCATTATCGAAGGGAGTGGTAAGTCCACATGATTGTCTTTTCCTTATTTTGATTTTCCTTTTTTTTTTTTTAATACAAGAAATTTCGTGGTCCCTAGCCTCAAATGATACACAAAATGATTGACAGTGAACTGCTAGATGCCTGTACCCATGAACTTGAAAGAAGGAAAAAGTGCTTAGTCTGTGGTAATTAAAAAGGGATTACACCTTTAGTTTAAGAAAATAAAATTAGTCATTTAAATATCCCTTTAAACGTGTTATATTAAGGAGAAAAGCAATTTTTTAGCAAATGTTCACCTTGGAAAATCTAGATCATTTATGCCAATATTTGGTTCGTATAGGATTAGGCGATATATGATAATTACACGAGGTGAAGAATAGAGTAAGACGGTAGAAGTGTTTGATGATTATTCTGAGTATTAGAAATTGACAACAGTGTTTGAATGGTCAAAGAAAGTGATTTAGAGTATGTGTTGAGATATTTGTGGATAAAAATGGCCTCCGCCCCTAAGTAACAAAATTAATTTTCATCTTTTTGTGGTAGCCTTTTTCTTGGATCAAAGTAACCAAATACTCTACTAGAAAATGATCTCATCAAAGATAACATATTTCAAGAAAATATACTTTGGGATAACATTTAGCACCACCAAAACACCGTAAGTAGTCTAGTCCTTAAACATATGGAGTAACATGGGCGGAGGGAAAACATTATTTACGGGTTCGGACGAACCGCAAACCCAATCACTAAGATGAGCTATGGATTTGATGACGAATCAAAAATTCATACCGTAAATCCCAACTTTACCTCCGTTGAGTAATACCGAAATCAGTAAGTTACCATGCATGTTTTAACCTTGAGTAAATAAAACTGATGTGCCATAATCTTGTAAATAAAAGTGAAAATGATGTGTTGTTATTAGCCAAGCCAGTGGGAACAATACTTTTGTGCATTCATCACAAGATCTTCTATAGTTCCCAAGTATCTTGTGAGTTAAATATAGCTTTACAAGAATGGGTGATTGGCATGAAAATTAGTGGATTGCAGTATCCATTACATTTACCTGTGGTGCAGAGAAAATAATTTCTCTGGTCCAGGAAATTTGCAACATTTTTTTTATATTTTGTCTCTTAGCAACTAATAATAAGCTAAAATAAAAAATAAAAACAGAAGTCTAAAGTAGTCGTGCCCAAATAAAAAGTGCACGTCAAAAGATAAATCAATTGCTAAGAACCTTTCTGTGGTGGGCATGCATTCAAAAAAAATGAGATATATGGAAAGTGGTAGAATGCATCCAAATCGGGGAAAATCACGTTTCTACTTTTTCTTAGAAACTATTCATTTGCAACAACATTAATATTACCTCGTTTTTTTTCCACATTCTTTGATTAATATTTTTTAAATTTCCACCCACCCCCACTTTTATAATTTTCCAATGGAGAAAAGGCACCTTGGCAAATCGCAAATCTTCATAAATAAAGCACTTTGCCAAACTTTAGGAACTGAGGGGACAAAAGACAATCTTACATTTTGAGAGATTGTGGAAACTTCAGACTTGGACCCAAGAAAATAAAAGGAGAGGACTAAAGACAATGGTTCTTTTGTGGGTGCTTTGACCTTAATAAAAAGTTTCCATTAACAAATAAGTAACAATTAACATGTCACACATGTTTCTTACTAATTGATCTCCAATTTAAAGTGTCTATAACGAGAAATTATCATCTTATCCTTCCACAGTTTTTAAGTTGTGATGAAATAATTTTACAACTTATTTTGAACTATCATGTTATTTTAGAGGGAAATTATTGGTAGTCAATAAATACTTGGAGAACAAACTATCATGTTACTGGTGATGTAAAAAATATGTGTTTATACAATCATGTCATTTATTAAGTAAATAGAGGCAGTGACGAAGGTATAATTTTTTCTAAGGGTATTCAAATTTGAAAGAAGTGAAATAATTTCCGACAAAGGATGTTCAATATATGTTATATACCTTTAAAACATAATATCTTACCTATATATACAGTGTAATGTTTCGACGACCACCCTGATAATCATGTGGCTTAATTTCTTGATAAGCATTACTTGGTAATCCGATAAACATGGTAACTAAAATGATATCACATGTTCAAATTTACTATTGTTATAGAAAATATGTTACGTTTTCACTATGTATAATTTTAGTTCTTTTATAATGGTAAATTACACTACTTTCGTAAAAGCACATTTACACTGTGCGTAGATATAATCATATAAAATAATAAAATGAATTAAAAATCTAAAGAGTGTTCTCATTCTATCAATGTCCATGTCCATATTTTATAGTACATATGGAAAAACATGACCTTTCATTTTCTCTTCCATCACTGTTACTTAAAATGATGCAAGAAGTGGCAAAATTTTAGGTCCTTTTAGGATAAGCAATCTTATGGGATTTATGATCGATTTTTTCATGCGTGTAGAACATTTCATGCTAACAAAGTTGTGTCTTTATATTTTACGCATCATTTAATTTATTAAGATTAAAGACGTTAAATTTTACTTTTCTCTAAGATCTATTTTAGATATATTCCGAGAGGTATCTTTCCCTTTTTAGTTAATTTTTCACCAATGTTCTATCAAGATTATGAATTAATGTTAAAATTGGATTCAAAGCAGGCACTTAATTATAAGCGAAGAAGGTTAAGAAAAGGGATTACAAATAATTTACTTGTTTCCGACTACAACTTTTTGACTAATTTCGCAATCATTAATCCAATGTCTATGATATGTGAGTTTCCTTGTTCATACACTGTATGACATTATATTTTGAGGATATGTTTTATCTTAGCCGTGTTAATAGTGAGGTTAGGCCAATCATTTCATGTAATTAAACCTTTTCTAATGATTAATTAAAGCATAGAATCGCTTACAGAAACTCATTATAAAGGTTAAAATTAATTTCTAATCTTCAGTTTGCATGCCTCGAGCTGCCAATCTGACCATCATTGAGTATGGCATGACTCGTGCAAAAGAGGAAAAAAAAAAGAAAAAAAAAGATAAACCGCAGTTATACATGATGAAATCACAAGAATAAATAAAATTAACCACTTATAAAAAATACCATACTCAAGTCTTTCTAATTTTGTTAAACTAGTAAATTTATTCACACTTCACGTGATCATAAAAACATCATTTAATTTACTAATGATTAAGTTTAGTTGTAAGTCGACTAAAAGAAGTGAATGACAGCTAGCTGTCAAATATTGATCCTAACTGGATAGACAGATTTTTAGACAAAATATCAAGCGGAGACTTGGAGTCGAATGAAAATACATCCCACCCCCTGATTGAATATTATGATATACTGATTGCAAATTTTCATTTATACTACATAATAATATAAATTAATAAGGGCTTTTTTCACTTTTAAACCGTGTCAAAAACTATTTATATTTGGTAGAGGAAAAATTATAAAATTTGTATAAAATATACAGAATATATATATGTGCAAAAAATATATATTTTTCTGTTATTATTTTGAGAACGGCTATACAATGTCATTTTTTCAATAAATAAATAGAATTATGTCTCTTTTAGCTATTTAAATATTTTAACTGAATTCACGCAATTTAATGCGGTATTTTTGGGATAATATAAGTTTTGAGTTTAAATCTCACACAATCCATCTAAAAGAATGTCAAAATGCGATGTTTAGGAAAAAAAATAATCAAAAAGTGAAACCATTTCCAAAATATATCCCAATTTTACGTAATTCATACTAGAAAACAAGAAATTAATGAGCTGATGGCGGCATCTGAGATTAACTAACAATGTTTGTACACCTATATATCATGTTGAAAAAATCTTAGAATATTTGTACACCTATCAGATCAAAATATATTTTTGACAATTTATTCCTAAAGAAGATCAAGAAGTAAACACGGAACATGGAAAATGACAAGGTGGTTGCCAGGGACGAATCCAACGTTATGATTAACCTAGTATTTTAACGCAAAACAAAAATTTATGTATTAAAATTAATTAAAATTATATAAATATTAGATATAACGCTATAAATTTAAAAATATAATAAATTCAGTACTGAGAACTTTAAAAATTAAATCAACAAAATTCATATATATATATATATATATATATATATATATATATATATATATACACACACACACATAACAGTGAATATCTAAAAAGACGTCGTGCAGCGGATAGGGCTGATCTTTCCTTAATCAGAGATTTTGGGTTCGAGCTCTGGATATGAAAAATTTCTTGGTAGGGAGCGCTTTCTCCGAATGAGGTCCTCCGCGATGCGAATCCAGATATAGTCGGGCTCAGTTGGAAAACCAAAAAAAAAAAAATCTAAAAGAAGAGAAGGGTACCTATGATTGCAATACAGTGTGGCCTGCAGGACCAACTGTCGCTCGACAAACTTTAACTCTTACCAATCTGTAGACTGTATTTCATTTTCCTTCAGCACATAAAAATCATGTCATAATTCATAACCAAGCCGGTTTCTGTACTAGCTACCATACCAGACAAAACAATATATTCTTATCACCAAAAAACTCATTAACAGATAAATTACAAACCCAAAATTATGTAAGTTCATTAATGTTAAACATTTAAAGGTTAAGCTCATTAATTTTAAATTTTGGATTCATTTTGGTTCTCGACTAGGTCTAAACATCTATAGCGTGAATAATATAACATGACGATTTAATATTGGGTAAACCAAGAATTGGAATGGATCTGACTCTAATATCATATTTTTAAAAATAAAGCTTAAACCTGACCCAACCCTAAAATATATATGATGATAATTGTTCAAGATCATATGAGGAGACATACTATTAATCCATATGTGACACTTAATGATTATCCATATATATATATATATATATATA